ATCTTAGTATTTTTTAAAATAGTTACCACAACAGTTTCAAAATATATTTAACTATGAAGAAAATAAAAAAGGGTTGTTTTTTTTTTTAAAGTAGCGGTTTATAAAAAGTACAAAAATGATTCGAGCAATACAAGAAAAAACGTTTGGAGCCTTAAATGGGGCGTTTTTTCTGGTTTGTAATTAGATGAAGTTAGAACATGGTTGTTCTAGGTTTTATTAAGAGGATTTAAGGTAAAGGGGGATGAAAACTAATCCAGATTTTTAGAGTTTTTTGTTTAATTAAACAGTTTGTCATTTTATTTTCACTTTCACTTCACAGTTTGATCCTAACTGGTTTTGGTATCCTAACACTCGTAATGAGCATGCACTGGTGACTATTGGGCTGAATACTGCAGGAAAACTTTATACACAGTAATTATAAATGAGCTTTCATGTATTTTTTTGAAATCCAGAGGGACACTCTGGGAATCATTGTCTGCAAACAAACACACACAACAATCTCTGCTTACTGTTACTGGACTTCAGGTCACGGTGGATGATGGGTACCACAGCCTCCTCGTGCAGATAGTGCATCCCGCGTGCAATCTGCACGGCCCAGTTCACCAGGATGTGTGGAGGGATGCGCCTCCCAGTCAGCGCCCGATTCAGCGTCCCACCTCGGGCGTACTCCATCACCAGGCACAGGTTGGGCTCCTCCAAGCAGACCCCCTCCAGCTTGATGATGTTCGGATGCTGCAGCATGGAGAAAAGCTTCGCCTCCTGCTTGACACTGGCAGCGGTGGCAGTTATGTCCTCATCCGGGTCTTGTCGGGCCGCTTTAACCGCGAACTCCTGATCTTTCCAAGTTCCCCGGTAAACTTTACCGAATCCACCCACGCCGATGATTTCCTCCAGCACCAGTTCACTGAAGGGGATCTGGGTGGGTGTGTTGGGCACTTGCTCCGACACCCCCACCGACCCGCCGGCTGCGGGGAGGCGGTAAATAGCGGGCTGGTACGTCACGTAATTGGAAGGGAAAATCCCGACCCGGTGGTTCAGCTTGCCCGTCCACCATCCTTCATCTCCGGAGATCGCAGCGTCCTGGGACAGCACTTCCACCACGTCCCCTCTCCTCAGGCTCAGCTCGTCCTCACCGGTTGCCTCGTAGTCGTACGCGGCGGTCCACAGGGACCGGGTGGGACACAGCGGGGCAGAGTGAGCCCACGAGCGGACGGTCGGGCACTCTGTCCAGGCATGTTCCCCGGTCCCACCGCCGTCCGGCCGCCCTTCACCGTTTGGGAAAGCGGCCTGAGAGACATCCATTTCTCGGTGGCCGTAGCGGCACCATAGGGTGCAGATATAAGAGAACTAAGTGAAAAAAAAAGTTTAAAAAGGGAAAATACGACTCTCTAAAATATTCATACTGCCTTTTTCCGAAGAGAAAACGAGAGGAATCCCCTCAGCAGGACCAAACCGTGTCCAAAGTCCCGTGGGACTGAGTGGACAAGCGTGGATCCACGTCGGTAAAAAGCAACTTAGCGAGGCTGCTCGCTAAGATTAGCCGAAACACGGCTTAAATCCCACCGCTTCATGAGCTGAGTGATAAAAAGCTAAGAAAAAAGGGTATAAATTAATTATGAAGATTAGCTTCACAGGAGGAACATAAGTAACAGCGTGAATAGCTGAATCTGCTGTGAGCAAACTAAAGTTAGCCGTTTACCGATGGAGCAGAGGAACCGAGTATCCGCAGGTGCCGCGAGAGGTGCACCTGCCGTCCGACAGGAGGAACACGGAGCCTCCCCTGGTGCTGGTGACCCCTTCAAAACACGCAGGAATACAGCTAGAAGCAGCCGAGTGACGAAAATGTCGAGTTTGCCTGCTGGTTTGTGGACTGTAAACAAACAAAAAAAAGCCCGACTGCATTCCAGACTTTTGGCTAGCGGGTTAGCTTAGCATAGGTCAGCCCGTTGGTCGGTTTGGGAAAAAGTTGCTGCTCTTTCAGACCGTTTTATCCAGAGTCTCTCCAGCAAGTGGGGGGAGAAATCGGGTGAACAAGTAAAAGTCACAGAAAACATTTTAAAAGTCGAACTCGGACAGAAGCATAAAACAGCAATTGGTAAACTTTAACCAAAACAATCCCTCCCACCGCCGCCGATCGATCGATGTTGTCGCTTTGCTTGGAGGTGGTGGCAGCAGCGGCAGGCTGGCTGGATCTGAGGAGGCTGCTGCCTGCTGCTCTCAGCGGCAGGTTGTGCTGGACGCTGATTGGTGGATTCTGTGACACGTGACAACGCGCAGCACGGTGGAGGGGGGGAGGAGCCACTGCAGGAATGTATGTAGAGAGCCCGCTTTCATGGAAATCATTGGAAGAGTGAACCATAGCATCCCTTATACAATCCCAGACACATTCTCTTTGACAAAAATAAATAACAACCTTTAAAATAGGGGTTATTATAATTAACTCCATACATGCATACACATAAAATTTGCACTACTATCTGTATGACTGTATACAATTTGATACAAACAAGCGTGCATTCTTTGTATGGTAGGGACACCGTGATTTGATCGAGCGTCCGAGATTCTCCCTATAGCCGCTTTAATGTGAAGTATGGCAAATCCAATTTGCACATAATAGCATTGAAAACAGCGCGTCGGATTCCCTTTCTCCCAATATGAGTGGTTTAATACTGAAGTTCATGTTCGCACCACACCATAGACACTGAATATAAAGTCCAAATTGGACTATTTTTCGAGTTTTTACCAACTTTCACCTCATTAATTCTAAAATGTTATAAGGATGTCATGAGGCATTTAGCATATTGGTGAAATGATGGTGTAGTGTTTGCACTGGGTTTCATTATCCCATGAGCTCTTTGCTCAGTGTATGTGTGTTCCAATGGAAAACATCTTTAAAAGCTATTTTGATTAACGTTTATTTCCTTGCTATAGTTTTCATAAATAGGTTGCCCACACACACTCACACCTCAGGGCAATTAAGAGAACCCCAGGAGCCTAACATTCATGATTTTGGACTGTAGGAGGAAGGCGGACTACGCGGAGAGAACCCACACATGCACAGGGAGAACATGCAAACTCCATGCAGAATGACCTCGGGCCAGGATTCGAACCTGGTACCTTCTTGCTGCATGGCAACAGTGCAACCCACCATGAAGCCCAACATATTTTTGATTTCCACAATAATCCATTTCATGTGAAATCAGTATATTGCTTTCATATTTATTTAGTATATACCCTCTTACAATTACTCTTTGTTTTTATATACCCTTTGCAGTTCATACATGCATAGTCTCTGTTCATATGTCAATACATATTTATATAATGTATAGCACTTCTGTATAGGTGCAAACTACCTTTCGTTGCTTTGTACTTGTGACAATGTAATGACAATAAAGTTGAATTCTATTCTATTCTAACATATTCAAAAGTCGTTCTTCCTAGAATTATCCCTAAAAGACAGTGTCTGCAGTTATCTCAACTAGAGATGTCCTGAGTCAATAATGATATAAATTGGTCTGATATCACTCAAAAACCTGATATGTGAATATATAAGTGTGCATCTAAAATTTCAGATATTAACATGCTGATGGAAACATTAAAGCCTATTTATTTGAAATAAATAATCAGGTTTATTTACTTAGTATTAATATAGTATAATTACTCAAAATTTATGCTAAGGAGTCGTACTATTTAAAGTAAACCTGATTTTTATGCATTTAAACATCCAATAATAAATGTATTAATTCTGAATACATAAACTGGACAATTAGAGATTCTAATTAATAGAATTGGGGAGCGGTGGTCTAGTAGGGCATAGAGCTTGAAAACCTGATGTTCTGAGCCCTACTTCCACAGACTGCCACTCTGGGTCTCCGAACAAAGACCCTTAACCCCACATTGCTCCTTGGGCGCCGCAATGTAGCAGCCCACTGCTCAAAGGCATAGCCAGAAAATTTTTATAAGGTTGGTCAGGCAATAACCAATGTACACTGAGGGGTGGTCGAAAGCAGATAGGCACCAAAACCCCACGGTAAATCTACAATGTTCCAACAGGAAAATGAATGAGCAAAACATCCATATTTTCTAAATAAAGACAAACTATATTTTCCCACAGCGTTTGCTAACAAATGGACAAATATATTCAAACATCCCTGCTTTCTAGATAAAAGGTAAAGTGGATAAAATTCTTTCAGGTTTGAGTTTTGGGTGAACATCTTTTCCATTGTCATTACTTACCTACTTTTATCAGTAATCATTCTGCATAAAATTTATATTTACAAGTACTATTGTCTACATAAATTGATTATTTAATACGTTTTTATTAAAATATTTATTTATCTATGATTTCCCTGAAGACTCCTAGATGACTTTTCTCTCTACCCATAAAACACAAAATCTATTTCAGCTTGAATTCTGTATTTATCATCTTTAATGTTAGTATATTGTTGTGCATAATTAACCACAGTGTTTTTGTTGTAAAGTAATTGTCAATAAATGAAAAAATGTTTTGAATATTCCACTTGAGTACTGTTGCCACCATCTGTATTAGATGGAAATAAATGGTAGGGTTGCCACAGGGGTGGCCAATGATTGGCTAAGGGTGGCCATGGCCACCCCTGGCCCCCCATCTAGCTCCGCCCCTGCCACTGCTCCCCAAGGGGATGGATTAAATGCAGAAGTATATTTCTCAGATGTCAGATCAACAAACTTCAATTATTATTTTATTATTTATTATAATAACACATTATAATGCAATGTTTATTTAATAGCTTTTTGTTAAAATTATTTGAAAAGTTACACTGTTATGAAATAAAATTATGTAAGTCGTGTGAGACATTTTGTGTGTTTTGACAAGAAAGAACTTTAGATGAAGCGATGGATTATTTCCCTCAATGTCCTGCCATACTGCCTCGCATCCTGAGCAGTAAAGGTGGGACTCATAATAGGGAGAGAGGGGAGGAGGGGCGGGGGCTGTCAGTGCTACGCATCTGTAGGAGCTGAGGAGAGGGAGGAAGGGAAGAGCCGAGCAGGTCAGGATGAGAACCGAGGAGGCAGCAGCGCAGCAATGGGAAGAACAAGAGGATCCCATCAGGAGGGATGAGAGAGAGGGCTCCGGAGCTCTGCTGCGTCGCTCCAACATGGAGGCGCATTGACAGCATCACACGTTAGAGGAGAGCATTTCATTGTAGCCTTGCAGCATCATCATCACCATCAGCATCATCCGTTCAAACCGAAGCGGAGTGGAGCAGACATGGGCTCCCACGTTGTACAGACCCTGCGTCAGGGTGTGTGGGCATCTCTGACCGGCGGCTGGTATCACGACCCGGACCAGAACAAATTCAACAACTCCTGCCACCTTTATCTGTGGATATTTCTCCTCATACTCCCCTTGTCTCTGCATCTGGTGAGTTTCACAGGGGGGTGGGGGGTGTCATGATGTTCAAGGCCGCGTAGGGTTGCCGTGAGGTATGTTTATAACGCTGCGCTGTTTGCGCGTTGGATAAACAACAGTCAGATCTGCAGGTATGTGGCAGCATCGCTGCAGAGAGGCCAGCATCTAATGTCGCACTGTTTTTCCCTGGATGCAACGCATGGCTGCTCCAGGATGTGACAGCAGCGGAGAAACTACAATGATGATGATGATGGGCGCTGCACAGACTCTTCTCAATTTATTTTTCTAAGTACAGAAATACCTAGTAGTATTTTACCTTTCTTAACTTCTCTACATTAATTTGTATTGAAGATACAGCTGAACTTCAAATAATATTAACACTAAAGTGGTTTCTTTTCACCAATCAAACAAATGCAACATTTATTTTAGTGGTGAAAACCAGGGGTGGAGCTAGATGGGGGGCCAGGGGTGGCCATGGCCACCCTTAGCCAATCATTGGCCACCCCTGCTGCCACCCCTACCATTTTTACCCTCTAATGCAGATAGTGGCAGCAGTTATACTCTCAAGTGGAATATTCAAAACATTTAGATGTTTCATATATTACTTACTATTTTTTCATATATTCATAATTTCTTGACAACAGAAACACTGCTGTTAATTATACACATCAATATACTAACATTAAAGATGATAAATACAGAATTCCTGCTCTTTTCAGACCTAGATTTTGTGTTTTATGGGGTTAAGAGAAAATTATATGTCTCTGCAAGTCATCTAGGAGTTTTCAGTGAAATCAGAGATAAATAACGATTTTAATAAAAACGTATTAAATAATCTATTTATGTAGACAATAGTACTTGTAAATATCAATTTTAAGCAGAATGATTACTGATAAAAGTAGGTAAGTAACAACAATGGATAAGATGTTCGCCCAAGAACTCAAACCTGAAAGAATTTTATTCACTATACCTTTTATCTAGAAAGCACGGATGTTTAAATATATGCCTCTATCTGTTTGCAAACGCTGTAGGAAAGTATAGTTTGTTTTATCTTTGGCTTGACCCTGAGGTTCTGGCATCTATCTGCTTTTGGCCACCCCTCAGTGTTCATTGGTAAATGCCTGGCCACCCTTGTAAAAATGTTCTGGCTACGCCTCTGGTTGAAACCAGGTTGAAATTCTTTCACGTAATTTTTTTTCAGGTTTTTTTCCTTGGCAGCCATTATGAATATATGCAGCATACAGTAGGTTAGTGTTAGTACCCCTTAAAGGTTGTCAGCAATTTGCTGAAGTATAAAACAAAACCAATTAGATTAGAGGCAAAATAAGTGTGATATATAAAATAATGGAATCGCTTTTGGCAATTACTTAATCATATTTAATTACTTTAACACAATTGTTTAATGTTAGCAGGGAAGGACATAAAACATTTGTGTTAAAGTAACTAAATATGATCAAGTAAAAAGCCAAAAGCAGTTGCATTATTTTTTTCAGTGCAGCTTTCTCTACTTTTTAGATCCAAATTGCTCTAATTATAGCTTCAGGTCTTTAGAGAATGTCATATCCAGAGACTGATTTAAATAACTCCCTCAGATCGAATAGAGGATGTTTCTGCCACAGTTTGTGTGTTTGATAAATGGCAGGAATTTGACTGGGCTATTTTTAGGCTAAATTATGCTTTAATCTAAACAATTCCAATAAAAATGCACCCACTTTTACTTTTATTTTTATTGTGGCTGATGGAGAAATACAGAGATTACTTCTCATTCATTGTGGTGCACAAAGATTTAGAGGTACATCTAAAAGGTAGATTTTGTATATTGTTTAAAAGTTCAGTATTTTTTTTTGGTTTCATTTCTAAAAGTGAATTATTACAGATGGAGTGATATGAGGCCCAAATTCATTGTCTGAGAAAATGTGAATATTGTATGAGATCACTTTAAAAAGGAAATTCTGATGCTTAGATGTATGTAATAGCTATATAAAGGCCCCAAAATCCCGATGGAGACTGCTGAGAGTACAGATCTCCAGAGGACGGCCATCCTCCATAAGGAGGGCAAGCAGAAAAGATAACAGCTATAGTACCGTAGCTAGTTGTTTACAGAGCGCTGTACTCAAGTATATCTATAAAAGTTGAGTGGAGGGAAACTGTTTTTTAGGAAGGGTGGCGACAGCAATGAGAGACCGGTTGAACAAAACGTATACTAGAATTTGGATCTCGAGTTAGAGCTGGAAACAGAATTTACTTAAGTCCAGTGATATTTTTTTTTAAAGACAGTGATGCTTTGTAGGGGAAGGGCACTTTCTTCTGCAGTCAAGCTCCATTGAGATATTTGTAGTTTGGGCAAGAAAAAGATGAGACACCAAAAGAGACCCGACTATATAGATTAAAACAACATTACACTCCAGCAGGACCATAAGCTGATCTCCTGCATGCAACACCGCATTGACACAGTAATTCATGCAAAGGGACGCCAACAAAGCATAGAGTTCATAAAAATGGAACCTAGGCAGAAGTTCAACTGAAGAAACTAATTACTTTACTACACCCACCTCCGGCACAGCCAATCATCTTTGAACCACACTTCCATGAAAGCCAATCAGCATCCAAAGTTCATCTTAAAAGGCCTCCGATCGCACCTGTCTGCTCCTGTGGGCAGGCGGTGGATGAGCAGTGACTTCACTGAGATGTGACTTCA